TTAAAATCATTCGGTTTGAAGAACGATTGACATGATTANGATTGTTTTNGTATCCGTTCTGCTTTCTTTANCCTNAACCCNAANATTTAATATTTTTGGTTTAGCNTNNAAATAGCGTCGAAACAACACATTTCGATGCTAATTCGACGCTAATTTGTAAAGTTTCGGTTTACCGCCACCTGAAATTTTTCGGTTTACCTCCAACACTTAAACCAAAGTAATTCAATATAGCTTCGGTTTTGAGTCGAATTCCAATAAACCTGATGCGTTTTCTATTCTTTACCCTAATGCCCCCAAACATCAAACATTTTAAGTTTAGCGTCGAAATTGCATCGAATTGTTAAGGTTCTATGCTATTTCGACGCTAATTAGCATCGAATTAGCATCGAAATGTGTAGTTTCGATGCTAATTCAACGCTAAACCTAAAACATTTGATGTTTGGGGTTTAGGGTAAAGAAACCACAAAGGATACAAAAACAATCTTAACCATGTCAATCTTTCTTATAACCGAATGATTTTAAAATTTGACATTTTTTTGTACATACATAATTGTACATAAGGTTAATGATGATATATGTAAAACTAAAAAAGTTTTTGAAATCTTTATTCATGAAATTTGTTTAAACTTTGAATACATAATTATACAATCGCAATTAAGATANANTAAANATAACAACTACGTATGAACATAGGTTAATGATGATATATGAATAAAGATTTCAAAAAACCTATATAGTTTTCCATTTATTATCAAAAAATTTCAAATTTTATAATCATTCGGTTATAAAAAATATTGACATGGTTAAGATTATTTTTGTATCTTTTGTGGTTTTTTTTACCCTAAACCACAAACATCAAATGTTTTAGGTTTAACGTCGAATTAGCATCGAATTGTGTAGATTCGATGCTAATTCGATGCTAATTAGCGTCGCAATAGCGTCGAATCAACATATTTCGACGCTACATCAAAATCTTAAATGTTCAGAGTTTAGGGTAAATAATAGAGGAGGCATCGGATTTTTTAATAATCGACGCTAAAACGACGCTAATCTGAAATATTTTGGTTAAAGAGTTGGAGGTAAACCGAAAAACTTCTACGCTAAACCAAAATATTTCATTTAGCGTCGAATCGCGAGAATCGACGCTATTGCGACGCTAATCTGAAATATTTTGGGTTTAGCGCCACCACGCGCCAACACAATCTTGACGTGGGAAAACGAAAATCTTTCAATGATTCGACGCTAATTTGACGCTAATTAGCGTCGACAAGCGTTTATTTATAAACGCAACAGTCTTCTTCTTCTCCAGTTTCTGATACACAAAATCCAAATTTTTTTTTCAGT